TAGAGTTTTGTTTTCTCAGAGGTGATTTTATGATAAAGATCATGGCTGTGCCAGCTAGGATTTCTCACATAGTTAAACTGTCTTTATTTTCTGTTTTTAGTAGTAGAACAGAAAAAAAAAATCTAATCTGGCCTTAAAATTTTTGCTTTAAAAATATAGTGAAAGCTGATGTCTAAACATTTTCTTAGCCTATTTCTCATTGTCTGAAAGTAATGACTTGTCTCTACCACCTTCTTTGGCAGTTCAGTTTTACTTAGCAGGGATATTCTAATCTATTCTTTCCCCTAAAATACATTTTGGGTTTTCCTGAAACTTTTCTTTTTCTTTCTTTCTTTTTATTTTTCTTGACTGGGACTCATCAAGTTGCTTAAGGCCTCACTAAGTTGAAATTGGTCTCAAACTTGCAGACCTCCTACCTCAACCTCCTGTATAATGGAACTGGGGCAGTCACCCGATCCACAGTGGAGAGCTTGGTGCTGCAGTTCACAGCATTTTGACTGAGACAATCTCAGTTGCCCATAAGCAAGGGGGAGGGGACTTCAGGGACTACAGAATAATCCCTTAAAGTTAATTTAAGTTGGGTGAACATCACGGAGTGAGGGAGTGAGTATACCATCTGACAYAAACCCAGATGGTATAGTCTACTACACACCTCGGCCACCTGGTGTGTGTGTGTTATCACCTACTGCTCTTAGGGCCACAATGAACAAAATGCATAAGATTAGATTACAGGCCCTAAATCTCTCTGGCTTATAGTCTTGCCATATGATATCTTTTACACCAGTTTCACCATGAGGTCCTCATAAGAGTTAAGCAGAAGCCAGTGGCATACTCCTAAATAAAAATGTGTTCCAAATAAAAATTTTTTCTTTATAAAGTACTCAACCTTATGTATTTTGTTATAGCAACATAAAAATGGGCTAATACTAAATCAGCTTGTTATCAACTGTTGTTGTTCTGAACCACTATATTATGCTATATTCTGGGGGAAGAATAAATAGGTGATGCAAAGGGGATGTTTAAGGCAGTGAAACTCTTCCATATGACTATAATGGAGGACACATGACATTATACATTTTTCAAAATCCATAGAAATGTATTCATAGTATAAACTATGGATATTGGTCAATATATCAATACCGATTCATTAATTATTACAAGTATACCATGGTAATGCAAGATGCTAATTACAGGGGAAACTGTGTGAGCACAGGGGGTAAATAAGAAATCTCTGTCCTAACCACTCAGTCTTTCTATCAATCTAAAACTGTTCACACACACACACACACACACACACACACACACACACACACTGAAGTCATACTTACATGATATAATCCAGGGTATATCCTCTGAACAGAGTTTTTAAAGTTGACCCTTTTCTAGAGTTTTTTTTTTTTAATAACTAACTCCCAAAACTGTGAATCTTGATGGGGGGAAAAAGCTCATTACCTAAGTAGTCATCTTAAAATTACAGGAATTTACATGATCTACTACCAAGGTAATGAAACAAAGGAAGTGTGTTTCAGGTGATGGTAGAAAATCAGGACACATTGGCAACTGGGGAGACGCAGGCCCCTGCCCCTGGAGAATCTCAGGAAGTCCCCTCCCTCTTGCTTCTGGGCAACTGAGGATGTCTCAGTCATAATGCTGTGAACTGCAGCACCGAGCTCTCCACTGTGGATCAGGTGACTGCCCCAGTCCCGTTATACAGCCAGGTGGCTGAAATGCATTTTGGCAAATAGAATAAGATAGTTTATATGTACTGTGACATGRCACTGGGAGTCTAATAATAACTCAGTATTATTAGAATAGGTGAGCACAGTCATGCTTACATAATGATGCTTTGATCAATGACAGGCTACATATGAGGATGGTCCCATAAGAGTGTAATGACCTGAAAATTTTCTGTCACCTGATGATGTCAGAGTAAAGCATTACTCTTGTGTGTGTGTGTGTGTGTGTGTGTGTGTGTGAGTGTTTTGATGCTGTTATAAGCACATGCTGCTACATGCGTAAAAGTATAGCATATAAAATTTGGTACAGTAAATTATTCTTAATAATCAATTTCTGTGTTACTCATTTATGTATTTGATTATACTTTTTGTTATTATTTTAGGGTATACTCACTCTTCTTACAAAAACAAAAGGTTACTGTGAGACAGTATGTCCCGTTATTCTGCCAGCAGTCTGATATGTCTCATGTTCACATCATCACTTGATTGTTCCATTTTTCTCTTGTGYTTGATCTAATCTTATGCATTTTTTTTTTCATTGTGACCCTAAGAACAGTAGGCAATAACACACAGGCACCAGGTGGCCGAGGTGTGTGGTAGACTATACCATCTGGGTTTGTGTCAGATGGTATAGTCACTCTGTGATGTTCACTCAACAACACATTTCCCAGAAAAAAAAAATCGCTGCCATCAGGGAYATGTGACTGTCTATAGCATGTAATGGTAAATCTCTCATCACTGGAGCATCAGATTTAATTTCACTAATCTAGGTTCTTGGTGTTAGAAAAGTGTCTTAGTACTCCCCTTCACCGTGTTGTTCAGAAACAACAGTAGTCCAGGCCCCTCTCAGGATGAAGGGAGCTCCGTTAATTGAGTGCAGTGCTAATGATCTGTGGGTCAAGAGGTCACTCCTCATTGGAGGCCAGCCTTTAGCCACACTCTGCATCTGGGCACAGACTGGGCCCTAACCTTTTATCTCACACGTGGGAGGTTCTTGACCACAAAAGGGCCCATTCAAGATTATTGTCAGTGACTTGGTGATATGATGGTGATATTGCATCACTAGATGTATCTTCAACAACCCATCTCGCTTGGTGAGGTTTGAATAAATTGAGGATAACTTGAATAGTGAGATCATCTAAGTCCTTGCTTTCCATAGAACTAGTTTTCAAATACTTCTGTARGCTTTCAGTAGAACCATAAGAATCTGAGTCCAGTTCCTCACCCATTTCTATTGGTGTTGAAATCTATAAAGACAGGATCCACTTGCTTATCTGAATAACCTTGCTTACAGAGCATCTAGTTATTACTGTGTTAATATACTGATCATTAATATGTAGTAAACTTCATCCCAGGTTGATGTAATACAGATTCCTAGAGGAAGAGTTAAACTACCTCAGAAAAGAAATGAGCAACAAAGTTTTAAAATTAACTAAAGATGGAAAAAAAAAATAGAAATGAGTGTCTTGGATACATTTTGTCCTCATTAATATTTTCTTTGTGTTTATGAGTTCAAGGAGCCCAGGAAATGTTGTGTGGAGTCTAGGTGCCACTGCTCYATCTGCTTTAGCGAAGCCATAAAGCATCATGATGTCTGGTTCAAATATTATCTGAGGTACCTTTGAGAAATGATGTATCAGGTACAGAAATTATGAAAGATACACTGGGGCCAGGGTATACTTCTGAGATACAGTGCATGCATGAGGACCAGGGTTCTATCCCCAGCATCGCCCCTGAAAAGGACAACAGAAGAAATATTGAAAAATAAATGGAACTATTTAAGTGTTATACTCAACTCATGCACTGTTCAAACCAAATATTTTGCTATCAAAATTTGTTCAAGAATCATACAAATTTGGAGTAAACACATCACAAACTATATCTTCAAATATTGCATCAAGAGGCTGAGGTTATGGCTCAGTGGTAGAGTGCTCGCCTAGCACGTGTGAGGCCCTGGGTTCGATCCTCAGCACCACATACAATAAATTAAAAAAAATAAATAGAATTTTTAAAAAAATATTGCATCAAGGAAAATTAGATGAATCCAATTAGAGAAGGATTTTAGAGAAAGAAAGATTAAATTCTACTGTCCTTTAGGTTTTCCAAAAATATTTCTCACTGACCTTCTAAAAGTTGATCAGTTTTCATTATAAATTTTGGGTGCTGGGGATGTAACTAAGTGGTATAAATAAATAAAAKAAAAGAAAAGAATTTTCCTTCATTCCATGAAACATCTGGAATTCAGAAATGCACCCTATCCCAGATTATATGAAGATAAAATTTCTTCTTCTTTTCTATTTCATTAAATAAATAAGATGATTTTACTGTATTGAATCTGCCATCGTTAAGGGAAAATAGTAATAAAATTCTAAGTAATGCAAAATAGATTTAATTTTAAAATATGGAAAATTAGACTAAGGTGGTGATTTTTACTGAAGAATCCAAACTGCGTGTTTTGAGAAAGTCCTAAAAGACAAGGGAACACAGCCTGAGGGTAATCACAGGGTAAGTGCTTTCCTCTGCATAATTCTCTTGTGAAATTTAAAAATGCTCAAAAAGTATTAATGAATCATGCCTAAGAACTACTTATTTTAAATTCAAATTTTCAGAGCCATAAATTGAGAGCACAAGACTAAAATTAAGCCTCTGCCCAAGGTGTTAAGTGAGAGGGTGACAGATCTTAGTCTGCTGATGAATTCATTATCAGTTTTTCTCCTCCTTAACTGCTTTAATGAATACCATTTGATTGATAGTCAAATCCTAATAATTTACTTTTCAAGGAAAGACAGTTTCCTTAAAATCCTTAAAGGCTTGTCGCATTGAAAAAAAAAATTTTTTTTAAATGTTATCCTGCCCCTCCATCAGTGTAACCTGAGTGTCTGGGGRGGGGGGATGTCTGAGAATGAGATGCTGCTGTGTAATTATTCTGAATATTTGACACACAGTCTTTGTAGGAAATGGTGATTTCTATCAACCAAAAGGCAATTAAATGCTGTCATTGGGAGCCCCCATTCATCAGGGACACTTGCCCTCCCTTCCAGCTGGGAGACAGATAACAGAATCTGTCCTATGTGAGGCACAATGGAGGAAGGTGATTAGAAATCAGGCAAACTCTGGCTTCTCTTTGAGCCCAACTCCCCCACAGGCTGAATTATAGCTCTCCTACCAGTCCCAGGGCGCAGAATGATGTCATGGGATCTGCAGTTCAGCGAGATGAAAGGGATAAAGCGGAGCCCGCTGGCAGGAGGAAAAGCTTCCAACACACAATCCACARCACAGCTTGGGAACCCAGAGAGCTCCGGATCCAGCCACTCACCCCAAGCGTGGGGGAACCACCGGCATTGCCTCCTTGCAAAAAAAGAGGAGGAAAGCAACGTGATCCGTGGTTAACAAAAGAGTGTGTGGACGGATGGGAGGCGGGAGGGTAACTACCTACCTGCTGAAAGCGAACTTTCTTGATATCCATGCATATATATAAGCTCAGCCCTGCCTTTGATGTTCAGCAACTGATCACTGATCAGATTACAGGCATTTCATCTCCCTGCTCGTCTGCCTTTGATCTGCATGGTTAATTTCATTTTCCTGGATTTGAAGTTTTGTCCGGGCTTGTGCTGACACACATTTTTGGGAAGGTAGAAGCATTTGGCATAGAAGTGCTGCCAAGGAGAAACCAGGCTGCTGAAAGGGTGAGTGCTGGAAAGATCTCAGCAGTTGCAGGTACTGGGTTTTATTTTTGTTGTTGTTGCTTCCACTGCATTTTTCCACATGTGTTCTAAGAAAGAAAAAAGATGGTTTTGATCAGTTAAGAATGAACATATCCGTAGCCGAATACTACATTATGCTGTATGTGTGTATCAGGGTAAAATTGATGCTTGATGCAATTTTTTAGGAGTTTGTACAAGAAGGTTTGCAATCTGTCATGTAAATTTTACTTGGAAATAAGTTGTGCAAACAGGACAAAACAGAATGGTGCTAAATTTAGCATGCATGCTCYGCTGCAGCCCCTGAGACCTGTGCACTGTAACTGCTTCAAGTATTTACAGGTTACTCTAGTTAGTAAACAGGCAGTGGAACTTTGTTTATTGAAAATGCATTCCTTGTTGTCTCTATTATAAAAAAAAAAGAAAAGAAAAATGCATTTCTGGTAATCCTATTTCTTTAGTTTATTTACTCTTTCACCTTCAAGATGTAAATCTATCAAATACATTTCCTTATGCAGTTTGTAATCACAAGGGAATTGCTGAAAAGGCATTGGAGTGTGATTAAAGCCTTTTATGTGTAAAACTGAAGAATTTAAAAACAGTGTGTGGGGGGAAGTGGCACTAGGTTTTGGCTAAAAATACTCTAGCGATTTTCTGTAACCTTTGGAAACAGCACAAGCCTTGTTTACAGAAACATTCACAAGGTTAATATTCCTAAATTAACATTTACTTTAAATTTATAGTGACAGCTGTTGTAGGTTGCAATTCGCCAACTGTTTATGAAAACTATCTGAGTAATCAACAGTTATTATGTTACACAAAGTATTTTAGTCACATTTTCATTTTAGTGAATGCTCTACAAAACCAAATTATGTTGCTGCACTGAATTTGAAAGTTAATTGTTATATCTTTGTCAATTCAATAATATTCTCTCCTCCCAAAGTAAAATCTTTGGGCTGAAATGCAAGAACTCAATAGAGTGGAAAGTGATCTTTCCACGTGCACACTGGYTTGTTTTAATATTCTAGACCTAAGTTTATTTGGGCAAAATATTTAATTATCATCACAATAGCCTATTTTATGCTAGCTGAGCCACAAAGAAATTATAAGCCATAAACCAGTTATTCTTGACTCTGAAATTCTGATGAAACAGGAAAGGTCTTAATGAGTCTCCTTTCATATATAATTAATTTTCCAAGCTAATTAATTAAATGACTTTCTAAATTTTCCTCCTATTAGGAGGTTAATTAGCATTGTTTGCTTAATTTTAAAACTTTGATGGTTGTTAGGTAGATATTATTTAGAACCATTCTAAACAGACAATGTTTTTTAAAGTCTGTCAGTAAGAACTCAATGTGAAAGAATTAACTCTTATTTTTACTCAAGAGATCATTTAAGATTTTTTTCCACCAATRATGCAACAAGTCATATTGATAAATCCTGATTTTAAAAAATTTGTCTTAAAGTTCAGTATTAATATTCACATTCAGAGAAGAAAAGTTAGTTTTTAAATTAGTGCCTACAAGTGATGCCTAAAGAAATAGTGTGCTTAGGAACTTGCTCATTTAGTTCAGATTTGGAGTTTAAAACTTTTTTTGTTTTTGTTTTAAATGACTGTTTCTTTGGCTACTAGCTTCGTTTTAACAAATGCAGACTTTTCTTAACACAAAACAAAGGAGAGAATTAGCAATTATCTGATTAATTTAGGCTTTGTAGAAAACTAGCTTGGGCAAGTCAAGTCCTTGAAAAACCCACTTCAGTGTCTAAATTAATTCAGTTAATTGTTTACTTCTTGTGTCTTTGAAGAGATATGAAACAAAGTGCATTTGATTTTTTTAAAAGAAAAATGGCTATTGCTGAAGGTATAGTTATAGTCTTAAAAGGCATTTTTTAATTAATTGCCACAGATGACCTTGATGGTGATTGAGTAGATATATCCCATACTTCTATGGAACGGAATGCGTATATTACATTTTTTCAAAGCACTTTCCTAACCATTGCTTCAATGGCAGCTTTGTTACTGCCGAAAGGCCATGTCTTCAAAAGACTTTTATTTCTTGATTCTGTCACTGATTAGCTATGTGGCCTTAGAGAGTCACTTCACTACTCAGCTTTCTCATGTGTGAAGTGAGGGGGTTGATCAGATCATTTTCATGAAATAAGCATGACTGGAATTTTTATGGCCATTGTACAGATGAGGAAACTGAGATGATAGAAAAGTAACTCTGCAGCATTAACTAAGGTCACACAGCTAATTTTCTGAGGGCTGGCCCAGGGTTCTTTCCTGTCTACCAYGTGTGGGCTCTTTTCCAACAACTGCTAAAACATATGCACGGTGGAGCTGATCAGAAAACAATGATATTTTGAAAGATAAAGATAGCCATTTCCTATTGTAGTCCTTTTTTTGTTTGTTTGTTTCCATGATAGAACTGTCACTCAAATGGATTTGCCCAATTAATTCCCAATAGTTCCTTTTCATATTTCTAAGCTGTATAAGCACAATTACTACAACACATAATTTACCATACTTCTAAAATAATTTTTACAAAAAATTAAATCCCCCCCCCTCTCTCTCTCTCTCTCTCTCTCTCTCTCTCTCTCTATATATATATATATATATATATATATATATGAGTTGACATTATATAAGCACATCTTGTTAAGTGTTTTCCAAAAATATTGATATCTTCTTAGGAGATGCCAGTGGGATCCATGAAAAGTTTTTTTTAATATCTTTATTTTATTTATTTATCTTTATGTGGCGTTGAGGATCGAACCCAATGCCTCGCATGTGCTAGGTCAGTGCTCCACTGCTGAGCCCCAGCCCCAGCCCTCATGAAAAGTTTAATAGTTGATTTAAATCTATTATTCCTCAAGGTAGATCTACAGTGGAGTTTTGTGAAATTTCATTGGTCAAATTCAACATGGTTTCATACATGATATGGGTTACATACCATATTTGATTATGTTGTGAATCCTTGAATGCATTTTTATTAACTCTTTTTTTCTTTCTTGGAAAAAAATATTTCTTGGGATAAAAATTAATTTAGTTACTGATGAAATTTTATGCCTATATGCTGCTTTCAAGACCAAAGAGTGGATCCTCACAATCTCTTAGATTCTTTTGTCCTAGCGCTAKCCTGTTAATTCTTCCTATTACATACAGATGAACTTGATTGTCAGCAAACATTATAGCCAAAATTTTGCCCAAAATAATGGGTTCCACTTTCCTTCCTTGCTTCCTTCCTTCCCTTCCCCCTCTCTTTCTTTCCTTCTTTTGATGTATTTTATAAAAGCGACTAAACATTTTTAGTAGAGTTTAGCTTCAGCTGACCTATAACCTCAAGCCATAATCCATTCATCCTCTGCTTTGAGACAGAATTGAACTCAAGTACCAGCCATTGGTTGGTCAAAATCTCTCCCTGTGAGGATAACATCAGTCCAAGCCACTCTGGAAAAGCTAAAAAAAAAAATTGGTGACCCTTTAAAGAGTGATTCTTTAATTTTTTGTGAAACTATTTTAGAGGAATGGGTGAGAATGATAAAGGCAGGCAGAGAGAAGCTCCCTGGTGGCTGTGCTTCATGTCCCCTCCACTGTCGCAAGCTCCTCAAGGTGCATCCAGTTTCCTCCTCGAGGTCACTSACATTCTAGGTTGAGCAGGTAGCAGTGCACCATCCATCCTGAGTTGCTCTTGGATGAGAAGTGAGTCAGAGGAAAGGGCAGGTGGGGGGCCAAGTGATGCTATAAACCATTCCTTCCAACATAAACCACTCTCTTTGAGAGGCATTCTGGTAAGTACAGTTTTCTTCATCCTGTTCCATATCCCCAATTCTTCAACAGACCCACAGTCTTGCACCATAGACTGTGATCCACTCAGCCTGTTCCTTAATCTAGTCCTCTGTGGAGGAGTCCGCCACATTTATGGGGAAGGAGAGATGATYGCTCTCTCTTTTCTCATTAAATTCATGAAAAGAGTCTAGCCCATGGGGATGGTTGGGTCCAACATGTCATGAACTCACAAAGATCAGTGCACATGCTGCAACGTATATCGACTTCGCTCTACAAATATCACGAATTTGACATTATCTAAACAAAACAGCCTCCTGATCTTTGTGTATATTGGTTTATGCACTCCTGGTAGAGTGAAGATTACGTAAGGATTCAGGGAGACCACATTTTGATCTCAGTTTTATCAGTAACTTTTGGCATGACCTTGAGCCTATCACTCAGCCCCTGGCCTCACAGTCCTCTCCAACCCTCCATTGATAGTCTGTAATTGATATTAGAGGGTTCTGGGAATGACTTAAGTAGCTGAATCTTGTTGTTGTTTTTTTTCCATCTTATTTTCCTAACTATATATTGTCAAACTATTTCCCTTTCAGAGTCTCATTCTCAATAATTAATTCATTGAGCAAATGTTTAATGAATACCTACTATATGCTCAGCATTGTGAACTAAACCAATTAAATTCCATATTTTCACTTGCATTCTATTCCATTTTCCCAAGGAATAGTGACTTACAGTACAAATTACTAGGAGTCAGGCAATTTGCCCCTTGAGATTTCAGTGAGCCAGTTTATCACTGAAACCATTTTTGTTTAAGAAATACGTTACTTTGCTAGTTCAACTTTGTGGGGAAAATATCTTATAAAATATCAAACACATTTTTGCCAGCTCAGATATTGATAAAACTAGCTTCAGAAAATGAACCTTACATAAAATATTAAAAACAAACACCTCCATCAAGATCCTCATAGCAATTTGACTTTTCCAGTAAAAATTTCAACACACGCATTATCTCCAATCTTTTAAGGGGAGAAAAATGTTTCCAGTTCTGATTCTAAGCATCATTTTCATTCTGAAGGAGGCTAGGATCATATTCTTTTGGAACTGCCATTGATGCTGATTTGTGGGCCTGAGTTTCCAGTRGATACTGTTTTCAGATCATATAAACACTCAAGGCAAAGTAAAGTGTAGAATATTTATTTAACTTAATGGGCTCTTCTCTAAAGAAT